TTTAGGACAGTTCCAATTTTTTTTTTTGCCAGTTGAGCCCCTGAACATGACTTCTTTTCTGCTTTAGAAATCTTCATTCAAAGCCAAATGTAAATAACCACAGGAGGGATGATGCTTATCATACAGTTTCGGAGGTAGCAGAATGATTTGTGGAATGAAACAAAAGCCTCATGTCCTATGCTACTTTTTAAACTATGTACCAAGCCAGAGTGCTATCCTGCTGGTCCTGCTACAACCACAGCACTTCTGCAACAATATGGTAACCTTTTGTCCTCCCACATTAAAAATGTAGTACTGCGATTTCAAAGAGTGACTCCTATGATAGGCCAAGAGGAATTCTTTTGAGGATCGCTGTGAGGAGCTGAGTTTATGGAAGGTGATCCGTTTACCATTTCTCTTTGTCACCTGTTGTGAAGGTCTGTCCAAAGAGCTTTTGTCTTCTTGCAGCTGTAAATAATACAGAATAAAAAAAAAAGAGATCCAGACATGTTAACGGAGACTCTTATTCCCAGAGTAAAAGGAACGCTCCATTCTAAGTTAAGCAAAATATTTGCTTTAGCTGGACTGAGAGCCAACTTCTTTATCACAAAACCATCTAGTCTAGAAGTGCCTTCCTGGTGTCTCTGGCAACCCAGGATTTTGTATTCTAATTAGTCACCGACCCCCATGAGCAGTGAATTCTGTGAGTGTGTTATTGTGTGTCAGATTCAGCATGCCCAATAATAATAATACTGGACCCCAGCTGAGTCTGAAGCAAAACGTTACTTTTTTGGAAAGGAGAAATACATTCGTTCTCTTCAGGGCTTGTGGACCATTACTGTAACTGTTTCCACAGGATATGTGGCTAGACTGATGCTTTACCCTCATTCAATCCTGCTTTGCTTGAGAATAGGATGACCGGCAGAACATCCTGTGTTCAAGAGCTGTGGGTGGCCTCTCCTCAGTTAAGGAGGAGCTGGAATATCCACTTTTGCAATCCGCTATCAGATTAAAATATTCTTCTGGACCGGCCCATTGCAAAGGGCTTCCCAACAAGAACACTGGTTAATTTCAGTACTGCTCTTGTGAAGTGATGGAACTGGGCAGTCACTCAATTAAAGAGTTTGCTTGCAGAATCCCGTGGTCTGATTTGGAAAGCCCGTCTTAAAGGTGTTAACACAAAAAGAGTCACAGGCCGATTTGACCAACGAGCCTGTGTCATATAGCCCGCAGAAACACGTGATTACGTTTTTTGCCCGGAGGTAGATGACATTTCTTGCATGACAGTTTCAACACCTGATACTGCAATGCCAAAAGTACCTTACACCTTTATTTTCTTTTACCGCTGCTGGTTAATGCCATCTCAACATATTATACATTTTGACATTCGCGAAATAAGCATGAGAATTCCTCTGAACAACGGAATCTGAATACTACGAGAACTTCCAAAGAACCAGCAAGCCACCATCCGTGACCAACGCCAGAAGACAACTCCAGAAGCGATTCAAATGTCGAGCATTTACAGAGCAGGGAAGGTCATAGGACCTGAAGTTGGGATTGATTCTATCATCGGAGAGGAACGCTGGTGCCCCTGGAGGAAATCTGAAACTCTAGTGTACGATAGAGGGGGAGTCCGGAGAATTTGCCTCATTTACAGTACAAACGCTGACTTGCTACAGAGTGAGTCATGGCTTTTAATAGGAGCAGGGGCTGGGGCTGCCTCAGTCAATGAAGTGTTTTGTGCAAGGGGCTTGTAGAGCAGACTGAGGGGTGATGGCTTCATTCCCTAGCCTTGCCATGCCCTATTGTACGTGTGAATGCGATCAGTGTTCCTCTTCACTTAGCATTCTGCACCCGTACTGCCCTGTCTCATTAATCCCAACCCGCCCCCCTCCCTCACACACACCCTTCTCCTCCCCCCTCGTTTTCTGGCTGAGGGATAAAGGCGCTGATGCTAGCTCGAGCCGACAGATCAAAGAAAGATTTCCGCCTTCCCAATCGGTCCATAAAAAGGCCTACGTTTGGGGGGGGCGAAAAAGTCAGAAAAATCCAACTTTGCCGCTTTCAAAAACTTGCCAACATCACTTCTTATCGGTAAAGGCATCTAATTCTGAAAACCAGGCGTGGGGCTCTTCACTGGACCTCTTTTCCCCGGAGTTTGAGAATCGGGAAAGCGAGGGGGAGAGACGCTTGTGGCTACTCGAGTTAAACGCGCTGAGCCTTCGCCTGTTTCGAGTTGGATTCATGGGCTTCTGTGCCTCCTTCATTAGATGGGGGCAAGAGTTTGCGATTCGAAAAGTACTTCCCAATGATGCTGCACTTTTTAAAAAGGAAAGTGCCGAAGCGACAAACAACCTTCAACGTTTGATTTCCCTTTTCTTCCGTGATTTCTGGTTCTCTGGGACTATCACCTGCGCTTACTTAGGGGCTTCTGGTACTCTGGGGGAAGAGAAAGGTCTTGAGAAATGGTTGTGCAAAATGAATCGTCTCGCGTTTGAGTTCCAAGAACAGGCTCCTAGACTGACTCATCTGCTGGTTATTTAGACCCATTCCGCTGGGGTAAAAGCCACTGAGAACGTCCAAAGGGATAGAAACGAAATCACTTTCGACAATATATATTTTATTTCTGTTAGAATGCAGCCTCTACAGTAGAAACGTAAATTGTAATGTCTTTTGAAGCGATAACATATTTAGACCAGATTTTAGACCTGGCTTGTGAGCCTACAAGTATATCTATATTTAAAAGTCTCCTGAGCAATGACAGCACTTTATACTTGTTTTATACAGTGTCACACGCTGACTCGGGGAGTGGAATTCTCTGCTGGAAGTTCTGCACTCGGTACTGGCGTGTAACAGCTGTTGCCGAACACTTTTAATAACTTTTAATAAGGGTGTCTTAGTCTAAATGTAATAAATGTTCTCCACTGTGGAGGAGGGACTTTGATGCCAATATAGCTGACCCTGCTGAAAGGCATTGCGAAGGCGTTGCTCCACACCCTACACCTGTTTCTGTGTGAGCTCCGGGCTGCCAGCGAGGTGCAGCCAGCGTTACGTCCTTCGCATGCAAAGTTTGCCCACATTTCCCCACAAGTATGGCCATGAAATCGATCTCCACTGGCGGGTGCAGTGGTCCTGCTGGCTCCTAAAAAAAGCCAAACGATAATGTTAATGTTGCTCAACCTATTCCAGCCCACCTAGTTAAGGAACTTTTTAAAATGTCTGGGAGGGATGACAGCAGCCCAGATCTTCCTGAGAAAATGTATGCACACCTATGGGAGCCTCTGTCTCTCGCTTCAGGTTGTCTTCCTCCGTCCCACCTCCATCACCTCTCCACCTGTGCAGCTTCCCCTTGGTTAATGTCTCTCTCTGTCTGGGGTCCTGCCTTCCTCATCCGAGGTCAGAGGTAGGTCCAGGTTCACTGTCAAGTGAGTTAAGGTCACTCAGTGCCTAACTACTCATAAAAATATTGCTAAATGCATTTTGTTATTGGGCAATGGTATTTCCAGTGAAACTCATTTTAAGCATGAGGTGTCTTGTCACCTCTGATTATTTCCCATCTGATACAATCTTCGAACCGGTGTTATGTTTTTGTGGTTGCTCAGTTTAACCTTCATTGCGACAGACAATCGGCTCTTTTTTACCTTGCGGTCCAAAAAGAGAAGTCCCAAAAACGTCAAGGTTCGGCATAACATGTGGATCGTGTAATGAAATATCAAAAATAATCTTAAACTTGTGTCAGTTAAGGGAATTATCTTCTCTTAATTGGAATACAGGGAATCAACATTATAGATTAAGCTTTATCAGGAGGAAAAGAGAGGGAAAACAAACTCTTTTATGGGGAATATTGCAGAGTAGGAAATTTGGGTTCAGTAGCGCCCAAAGAATTAACCAGACCAAACTGAAGGGTTCAATTTCTCGATCCGAGGCGAGAAGTCAGGTGGACTGGATGAGGGAATTCGATGGCTTTCGAGATCCAGTAGCAATAAACCCTTTAGCACAGCTAATTAAGTGGATCGGAAAGAACGCTGCTTGATACCTGGGACCTTTGCTTAGAAATGTTTCAGGGAAATTAAACCAAAGCAACTCTTGACACTGAAAAGCTCAGGGGCCGCTCCTGTGATGAACAGCTTTGACTCCACCATAAAACCTGCGCCCCCTCTCTTTACAGAGCACATCCTGTTGAGAGGATTAAACTTGGCACAAAGAGGCTGCGGTCTTTCTGGACAAGGGCAACATCAATAAGGGAGGCCGTAAGCCACTATGTATATATTCTGACAATCACTTTTCACGTGAATGCCACGGGCACTTGGTTTCTTTTATTTGTACCACTTGCTTCATACTTCGTCGAAAGACGCCTGCTGTTTCTTCATTTTGGACTGGCCTGTGGCGAACAAATCAAATTATTTCCTCCTCAGTGAAGCACTTGGCTGGTTTCTTGCCTGCCAGGGACATGTAACGCGGATTATGCTCCATTGTCCCTCTGCACTTAGCCCTGCGAGAGGGAAAGTGTGTGGGGAGGTGTGTGAAGGAAGATGGGTGTCTTTGCAATTAAGGTTTGCTGCCCGTCCGTGCCCGGTGTCTGTGCCTGGGCCGAAGATAAATCGATTTGTTCTTTGAGCTCTTTCTGTGTTTCCCCCTTGCAGTGAGAGAGAGCTACAAATGCTGGTCCTTGAAGCACCGTGGTTTTCGACTGGCCACTGTTCTTGCCAGCAAAGGCAACGGGGAAAAAGCTGTCCGCCACATTCCTTGTTGATCCCTGTGTGCCACTTTGAAACCCCACCCAAAACTGACTCTGGATTTTCTGAGACCACCTGGTGAGAAAACTCAACATAATCTCTAAAAGAACAGATTCATATTATAGAGTCGCCACTGCAGCACCCTTAACCTATACCAGTTAAGGGTGTTGAGATGTAGTGTCCACCAGTGGGTAGCCTCCTAACAGAACCAGGAGCAGAAACTGCAATCGCAGCTCGAGAGTGCTGCTTGGTGTGCATTCTGTTGTGTTCAGCGGAATCCTTATTATTTCCGTCAGTCATCAAATTTCACTAAACTGAAGAATTCTGCTTACTGACTTGCTTCGTTGGGACCATATGACTCCATACTCACCTGGACACTTTGACACAGGACTGGATTTGACATTTTACCGAGATTTTGCTGTCCTTCTTTAATTAATAATTGCCCAACCGCTAGAGAGAAGGTCATATTCTGTGTTGCATTTTTAGGAACAGCAAGGGTGTTTCACTTCTGAAGTGACAGGTGCATGATTTAATTTCTAACGTGCTTGTAATAGCCTTTCAGAATTAACATTCTTGGAATTTTTGCAAATCATATTATCTTTATTTTTCATGATACCCATATAATTGATTTGATGTTCTGTTGATAAATATATACAAAAACTGTAAAGACCGCAATACGTCTGTAATACTGACCACTTCATCGCCATTCCTCCTGTCTGACATTTAGGCAGGAGAATCACTGCAAGACAATACAATTTTGGACACTATTTTAAAAGAAATTAGTTCTACCTTTTTAGTGGCACAAAAAAGTGTTGCTAAAATTGTCTTTGTACACAGTGAAGGAACAGAATTCAAATGCTGTGTGTTTTCAAATAACACACGCAGTATATTGTAAAAATCTATCCTATGTGTATGAAACATAATTTCTGTAGTTGAAATAAGTCTGGTCATATGTGTTTTGTGGAGATATACAATTTATCGCCTTGTCAGTCACTTAACTAGAACCAAGACAAACAAAAACGCAAAGTAGCAAAATCCACATCCAGGCCAAAGTTAATCTAAATACATTTTAGTAAAATAATTCATTCACATTTTCTTACTCATGCTGAATTTGGTCCTGTTTAAAAGAAAATCAAGACCAGAAGGAAGTTTGCTATTTGATTTGAAGTGGTTTTCCTTTGCTTGGGCTCATGTTTCAATTTGACTATCACATGATTTCATTCAAAACCAAGTTTGCAACTTTCTGGCAGTTGACATGAATTAAACAAAAACACAGTTTTCTCTCTCCCTCTCCCACTTAAGCAAGGTTTAGTGTCTGAGGTTCTTTCACAACAGGTCTGAAGACTTGGAAGGTTTTTTTTTTCCTTTTAAGGCTGAGAAGGTTGTTCATAGAACAAGTGAAAGCAAAGCAATGATAACAACAACAAAAATGGGCATTTCTTCTTACAAGGCTGAGAAAGCGATAGTGATGCTTTAAATTCTATCAATTCAATGCTTCAATTCATTAATGCTTCAATACAGCAAAACATAAAGAAATTCATCCCCAAAAAACATGAAGCCCAGAGAGTATAAAAAAAGCACCAAAACCACTTAGAAAATTCACACGGATAATCTTCTGACGCAGCTTCCAAACAGCACAGCGAAACAAGCAAGTTTCTCCAACATTCTCTGAAACCCGTTATCAGGCCAGAATAAATAGAAAATTGCATGAAAACTGCCGTTTTTGAACTTGACCTTGTCTTTCGGCAAATCCTACATGCAAAGTCTTGTAACAGCGTGACAGCTGATCATCAGAAACCAATTTGGAATCACACAGTAAGAGAGGGCGAGGGCTAGTGTCGGGTTGATGAATATGTATTTTCTGCAAAACTTGCCGTCCTGGGTGTACGATCGATTGCTCGCAGATAGTATACTGTCTTTGTTTCTTGGGCTCCATCTTGGCCTAGCCTGAAGGTCTTGGTAGTCTTTGATTTGATGTTCCACAGTCCAGGAGAAAGGATGTCTCTTTCATAGTCATTATTTTTAGGCGGGCATGCCATGCTCTTGTCACCTGTGTGGCACGACATCTCATTCGGCTTAGCTCCTCCTTCTGCAGAGCTCTGCTGTCCTGGCGTGGAGTAGGACCTGCTCATCCTATTCCCGAACTGTGGAGCTTCACCACAATGTTCCCTTTTCCAAGGGACATTTTGTGGTGGAGTCAGATGGTTCCAAAAGCACAGTGGCAGCTGGGAGATATCTTTTAATGGGCATGGGCTTCCTCCTACGGGTGTAAACCATCGGAGAGCAATTTCTGGATTGATCCAGACTGGCACGCGTGCTAGGGGCACTGCCTTTCGTCTGCTTCATGAATTCCCTGCTCCTGTCTCTGCTCGAACGGAGGACAGGGGGATGAGTCATCCCGCTGGCATCCTGGGGTTCCAGTTGTCCAGTTCTCTTGATCTGATGCCTGTATGAGAAAGAGAAATAGTTCCCCACAAAATAATACTAAAAACAAAATACAACTAAATGGGATATTTGAACTAGAGAATAGAACAGATGATGCATAAAAATAGTCTCGGCTTCATGCATATTCATGGAAAATCATGATGATAAATATGTTGCACAAGCCTGAAAGATCTTAGTTTTGCAATTGCCACTACACACAACACAGTTGGATTATGTTGGCTATTTTTCGTTGGATACTTTCTGGCCTGGCTCTTAGTAACTTTTATCAAACAGGATATTTCCAAAAAAGGTTTCTATTTCATAGACTTCATATTTGGGAATGGTCACTTATTAACGAACAGGGTTCCTTCTGAGTGGGAGAATAAGGCGCTGCTCATGCATTCTCTGATGAGACCACCTGTTGGAACTACCTGTCATTTCACACGTCACTGCACAGTGACAATAAAGCAGAATCAGCACTGTAGACAATAAAGCAGAATCAGCACTGTATTGCTGACCAACTCAGGGTCACTGGAACCAGTTTTGTGCTGCTGTTTGAGGGCACATCAGTCTCAATCAGTTCATGACAATTCATCAGGTTCAACTGAATTGCTCTCTGCGAGTACACATTGCCCTGCATTGTTTAACAAATATTTTTACATCCTGATGTTTACCGAAACTGCATAGAATCTACCGTAGCGCTAGCTCAAGTAGAAAATGTCCTACTTACAGGAAAAGAAGAAAGTCATGATCTCAAAGTACATAATTGTAACGCTCTTTACTAAGTGTTGCTTGAAGACACAGATGTTGGGGTCTGTATACCAACAGAATATAGCCAAACATGGTTGGAAACAATAGCTATTTTGATCACAGATTAGAAAGAGTTCAATCAGTCGGCCACGATAATCTCTCTCTTGAGTGCACACACACTTCAAGATCTGTGAGTTATTGACGCTAAGAGGGATTGAAAGCCCAGAGGGGGCAAACAGGATTGTTTTTGAATGTTCTGAGCTAGATGGAGTGAGAGAATGTGTTCACAGTTTTGCCTTTTTGCCAGAAAGGAGGCAGAAATTCACAGCTATGTCTTAGAACTCAATCTGCAGTGATAGTGGTGAAAAGATCTCTGGCAGGTACACGAATGGGCCAATATTGAGATATCCAAAAGCAAGCGTGTCACAGATGTCGGAAGGGCATGCCGTGGAATGACAAGGAGAGCAGTGGAGACCCTGTGCGTAGAGGCAAAAGGGGCAACATGGAGGTTAGCCCAGGCTCAGGGGGTCGGACGATGTCTGTATAGAAACCTAGGCTCTCAGGCCACGGTCGTGGGGTGACCTGGTGCTAGGCGGGTCTCACGACATCCGTACCCTCAATGCTGAGCCAGGAGCAGAGCAGACGCAGGAAGTAAATAGGCTACACAACAAGACACACTGGAAAGGCATGAATAATCACAGGGAACTAGGAACAGGACAGAAGAAGAGCGCCCTCTAGGTGTACAGGGTGTGACAAGTGCATATTGCAGCATGCACGCTAATATTAAACATCCCTGGAACATAAAGCAGTATTTATAGATCTGAGAGATTTTGATCATTTTTACAAGCATAATTGAATCATTTTACCATGGGGTATTAACTGTTAAATGTGGTGAGAATCAGCATGATATGGTACACCCTGGATGGGATGCCAGTCTGTTGCAGATTAGACACAGACACACACACTCACACCAGGGACAATTTTTCAGAAGCCAATCAACCAGCCAGAATGTCTTTGGACAGTGAGAGGAATCTGGAAAACCACAGCACCTGAAGGAAACATGCAGACTCCACACAGACAGCACCCCACGTCTGGAATGGGGGGTCACGGTGTTGTGAGGCGGCAGTGTTAACCACTGTGCGGCCCCCGAATAATATCTCATGAGCAATTATATGAGTTTGAATCTTTTTCGCTTGCATCGTGCTGATATAATCAAATACTGAATACCAAAATTTCAAAGCCATCATGTCCCATAAATCTTTAAAGTAACACATGCATGCGTAATGGGAAACATTTGTAGAATACATCAGAACACACTTCTTTTCATGTTGGGATCCTTCGTAAAGCATCTCGGTTGCAGTCATGTATCAATATGCTACTTCCAGACAGAGCAGGACAGGATCAACTGGCTCCTCTGTTTGGTAACCTTCCCTATACCTGCGATTTCTTTGTTTTCTTTCTGTTGCCATAAAATTGAGACTTATTTCCCAACGGGCCCTGTAGAGACTCGAGTGCACATTTGACACCCACATGCAGCATATATTAGATCCGGCTGTGCAACACTGCTTTCACTTTGGGGCTAAATTTAGTCCGTTTAAGGGCGATTCCTGTCGCATTTACAAAGAACCTGGAATCCAGATCTCGGGCTTTCCGCAGCTCATTTGTGATCAAATAAAAGTTTTTAATCTGTTTAGTGGTTTTCATTGTGCAAAAAAAAAAAACGGACAGTATTTTCTATTCATTTTAGGAGTTTAGGTACCAGGGAAATAGATACTTTAAAATAATACCCACGATTTCACATTTAATGCCCATAGAAGACCACTGGAAATCAAGTTCCTCTGTTCAGACAAAGTCATATCTCTGACCCTTACAGAAACCACCAATATCAAAACTCTGGGGAAGTGTACAATATATAGCTTTTATCACTGGTACTTCCAGTTGGAAATAATTGCAATTCCATTCACTATTTTAGCATGCATCCATCTTCTAACTGCTTCATCAAATTGGGGGTCGTGGGGGAGTCGGATCCTACCCCAGCAAGCAACGGGCACAAAGTGGGACAGGATGCCAGTCCATTGCAGTGCAGACAAATACAGACACCACTCCAATTTTCCCAGAAGCCGATTAACCAACTACTATGTGTTCGGACTGTGGGGAGAAACCAATGCGAACACAGGGAGAACATAGACTCCACACAGACAGCACCCCAGGTCCAGAATGGGATCAGCACGTCTTTTGAATAAGTATCACCTCTGGTCTTTACAGAAATCGGTTTATAGTCAACTACCAACCTCACCAAAACCAGCAAATCTGTACTGTGAGTAAGACACTTGATACTTTCTAATTCATTTACATTCCTCAACTCTTTTTGAGATGAAAGGAGATGATATTTCTAAAAAAAGACTGAGTGAATTAAACAAACAAGCAAACCATAGGTACAATTATACGTTAACCAGAACATAAAGCATCCACATCAAAAGCCATTTCTCCTCCACACTGAGAACACAAATAGACCCTTTCCATCGATGGAGCAGAAACAAAGATCACGGCAATTATTTGGTCCGAAGACTGAAATCACTCTGCACCATAATCCTTCATTTGTAGGAAAGCCTTCATTTTATAACGTTTTATTTAAAACATGTAGAATAATGTGCTACCATGATTAAATTACAGTATATCTACAATCCAATAACATTTTAATGTAAAACACTACTGTGACAGCAGGCTTTAAAATTTTTTGCCAACATTTAGCAGCAGAAAAATACTTTTGGAATCAGTCCACTTTTCCCCCATTTAATCAGTGGCCTTCAGTGGCAACTCATTCCGATCACAGCCTTTGGAGCAGCTGAGCTACAGTACCAGCAGCTTAAAGCCTGATCGTCACGGAGAGGCTGGGTCTGGATATCGGAGGTGTGACCACAAAATCCAAATCACCATCCAGGTGCAGCACAATAGGATATCGTGCATTATTTGGGGATGAAAACCTAAAATTTGAGCTGGGACTTCACCTCTTTGTAGTGGTGAAATATGAAAACAGGAGTTCATTTAAATCCCCCCCTTTAAGAAGCATTAAAGAGAGATTTTGGTTGTGGCTATTTTTTATGTACCGTTTTGTAACATACCGTCTTACATTGTGTGGTTCAGTCTGTTCTACTGCGGATGTCCTCAGAGAACGGGGCAAATAACTATTCCACCCTACATGTGGCAATAAATTCCTCTACTCTACTATTTAAATCTGCAGTTGGATAAAATATCTACTGCAGTCTTTGGATATGTGTTTGGATTCAGCTGCTGTTTACATACTTAGTTTGTTTTGTGTGTGTACCCAGAGGCTCTGGAACAGATACTGCATGACAGCCAGCAACTTGTGTTAGATTTACTGGAAGGGCTGGTCTTTTCCTTCGATCTGCTCCTCGTTCCTGGTCCATTTGTTTTCGATTCTCTGTAATTGCTATTCATTCCTTCTCCAGATGCACAACGGCAATATAAATTTCCATAATGGCTGAGAGCCCAAGGTTTAAGAGCTGGCAGGGTGACCATGTCAGTATATCGTAGGATTTTATGATGAGGTGATCAGAGGCACTGTCAGGCGATGGCTGTGCTGTAGGATAGAGCTGTGATATAATAAATGCTGAATTCTGTTCCAGCAAATGCTGTAGCCCTTGGGTCCCAAGAGCATCCCATGCTTAGGAGATCTGCAGAAAATAATCTATTTTCAATCTATGTGTAATCATACACATCATCATGTATTGAAAGCCATCATCTGTCCTTTTTTGTGTGTCTTTTTCCTGTGAGACACAGTGTGAGTAAAGTAAGGGAGGGTATTTATTTCTCCCCATTGTTGCATACTTTTATGAGATCAATGAAATTGTGGTACTAGTAGTGGCGAGGAAGACGAAAACAATTTGCTTTCAGCTGTAATTGATTCCAGGTCCTTTGTGCAGGACTTACTCTGCTCACCTACACACAGACAGTTAAAACTTGGTTTTGTAAGCATGGAATTATCCAATATCCAATATAGGATCATGGGCCAATCAGAGCCTATCCCAGCAAGCAATGGGCACAAGGCAAGATATATCCTGGACAGGATGCCAATCCATCACAGGGCGCACACAGACATGAACACAAGACAGGCTGCTTTTCCCAAGAGCTAATTCATGTTTCTGGACTGTGGGTGCAAACTAGAACACCAAAGAGAACCCCATGCAAACACAAGCCCCACACAGATGGCACCCCAGTTCCAGAATTGGACCCAGGTTTCCAGCGACTTAGATTCTATTCATTTGATGTTGAGAGTGCTCTGTTACTGCCTGAGGATTTGTGTCTCAGTGTTAAGGGAATATGAAATGGGGACTGGAAGCAGTAATCTGAGTTTCAAAGGCAATTTGCTCAATAAAAGACAACAACAATAATGTACACAGTAGCCATCCATTAATTGTGCCTCAGCCTCTCCCTTACTTCAACACATGACAAAATATTAACCCTAAATATACCATAGTAATAGCGTGTTGTCAGGGTGGCAGTGAGGCATGATGGGTAGCGCTCTGGTCTAATAGGTGTGTTATGTCGTCAGATCCCAGTGGGAGACACGGCCGCTGTACCTCAGAGGAAGGCACTATACCCATGTTACTCCACCAGGCCTTGCCAGTATAAATGAGTTCCAATTTAAACTACTTTCAGTTGCTTCGGATACACATGTCAGCCAAAAACATCTGCTGATAATGATGTCAATTCTGTGTTGACCAAGTCCCCCTCTCTCTTTTTCTCTCTTAAATATATCCACTCTTCGGTGGGAGAGGTGCAAGTAGGTTCTTATGAATTAATATTTCTTTGGACAGAATTCGGAGAGGCAGGACTATGAACGTTCTTCCCCTCTACCCAATTGGAGTTTGTTTACAGCTTCTCGTGGTGCTCTGATACCTAAAACATACACCTCATTAAAATACCTCCCTTCTTCCTCCTCGTCATCTTCCTCCTCATATTTTGTAGAGGGCAAGTAGAGGTGCAGTATGCCTGCAGCAGGTGTCTCTCTGGAGTCCCCATCAGCGTCTCTGGATTCCTTGTGTTGAACCATATTGGTTTCTGGAGGCTGGCTTGCAATTCTTCCCACATGTGCTGAAGATCGACACAGACCGAGGGTTGAATCACAAAAAAAAGAAAATGACAGACTGGTCAGTATGACAGAAACACGCTGCCAGTGTCATCGAGAGGATTTTGATATTACCATGAGCTGGCTCTACTGTGATGAGCTCTGTGTCTTTTCTGTTTCTGATAATTGAGCAACACCCCCCTGCCATTTGTTTCTTGTGCGTTTTGTCAAATGGTTTGTGATTTGTTTCTTTTTTTGCAGCACGCCTGTTCAACACGGATGGGTTTTCTCCTGGGACAGCGCCTCAACACGACACTTTGCCTTTGAGGAACTTGAATCAGATATTTACACCAGATAATTCAAGCAGGTTGTGCAACTGGTATTGTTTGATAGACGTATTCTGACAAAGGGACAGGACGTGACATTCAGTAGAGTCATATAAGATGTTAACCTCTCCAGTCCATCCTAGCACTCCTGCAGTGACTGCCTGTTATTTCTGTCACCCTTCAGCCAGATGTTACACAGTGCTTCACTGGCATATGGAAGTCCTGTTTCTCAAGTCACATCTGGCATGCCATTGATGTACTGTAAGGCCTTTCTAAAAGCTGTGATATGATTATTTGCTTTTGTGAAGCACAGAAGTTTGTTGACTTCTGGAACGGTCCATTGTCCTTGTTTGTTAAACAGGTATCAGTGGAGCAAGGATGATGATGTTTGATCAAGGCATCTAGAAACACACCTTGAAACATTTTGTAGGACAGCGATGGAGAGAGATTTTAGGTATGGAGAGAGATCATTCCTTGACTGATTAACATTACAAATACTGCGTTACCTTTCTTTTTGTCTGTTTGTTTTTGGAATTAAGTAGTATGAATTTAACAGTTCTTTGACAGTGACCACACTCTTTACAAAGCTCCTTCTGCTCAAATCCTGTGTGCTCCACCTGCTATATTTTCTTTTGTACCTGTTCTTTGACTCAGTCAGATTTCCAGTTTTGTCCAAAAGCAGTTTTGCTATATGCAAAAGTTTAAGAATCACCAAGCTGTTTGCTTCACCATGGGCTCCCACACAAGAGTTCTCAGAGGGACTTTAGAGAACAGCCTACTTTGCATTTAGGGTAACACCATCCCCATTATTACATTCCCCAAAACATTTCACTCGCCCAGTTAAGAGTAAACATTGTAGAAGTTTGTTTCTGTGGAGCAGCTAATGAGACGACTCAATCTAATTAGGAACAGATCATCATATGTTGCCCATATACCAGGAACCGCAACCAGTGATCAAGAAAGGAGATTTAAATTATGTTCTTAAAAGTGCAAAGGTTTACATGGATATAGGGTCTTTTTGGAAAGATCTGCCTTGTACCCGTTATGAGCAGACAATTCAAGAACCTCTTTTACCTTGGTCGACATTGAGCCCATCTTTAAGCTGTAGGGAAGACTCCTCTCCTGGTGCAGCTCCTCCTGCCATCTTGTGAAGAAGCCCCACTGCTCTCGGGACCCTGGCACTGTGGGGTCTCTCCTGCAGACGGCAGCGAAACCCCTGGACTGGCAGAGATAAGAGCCGCAATCCGGATCATAACTGGTCCTTTTCTTCTTTCAAGAACAAGTTCTTCAGATGAATGGCTCTGCACCCATGGGTTGAGGTGGGGAACACTTAAAAAGATAGTGTTCCCTCTTGTCTGCTATCACCTGTTTTCAGCAACCCTGGTCTTTTAGCGACCCAACCCTTCAGAGCTTATGGGCACATTCAATCATTGCCTAAAGATCATGCTAGTAAAAACAATGATCGCTTCAGCTTTTGCCAACGTAGTGCGAGCTGCAAATTGAAATGGGTTGGAAGACGTCTGCGGGAGCTGGGAATGTCCCTTTGCTTTAATGCGGGCGGTTTGTACAAGGCAGCGGGGCTGTGATGTGTGACTGATGGATGGAAGACGAGCACTGGTTGTGCGAAACCTGTTGAAGATGGTGGAGTCGGTGTGAAACAGATGAGCGAGATGCGTCCTCGCCAAACAGAGGCGATAAACAACGCAGCAGACTTGGTACACGTGGCGCCGCGTCAACAAAACACAGCAGCACGAGTTTCGAGCATTCAAAGCCCAAATCTCCTCATTTCAATTTTTTGCAAAAGAACACCCAGTAATAACGCTGCTGTACAATAGAACGAAAAAAAAACTACATTTTTTAATTGTGAATGGCGTCTCGCTATTGGAATCTGTCCGCTCTGCTTGTGATCAGCGACAGGAGACTGTAGTAAATATGCTCCAAGGACTGGTGCTGGGAGGTGGAGGGGTGGCTGTGTTGTCACCCTCTCTCGCATATCAAAAGGCCGTTTCAAGTAGTGAAACGTGAGAGGGAACAGACAGTTAAGTGTTGACACACCATCTCCAGATGGCAAGAGCTGTTCGAAATGACAGTAATTAAGAATCGGGGGAACTGCATTTTCAACCATATACAGTACATCAACGCCACAATTACACTTTTATATTCTTTATGGGGTAGTCATTTCAAGGTCTACTTGTCTTTGCGTTTTAAAGTTTTCTCACTCGAGGATCTTAATTAAAACGTCCCTTATTCCAGACAGTAAAGAAATAAAAACCAGTTTTGAAGTAACTGGCAGTAACTGACAACTTGAGGATTATTGAAGGAAGGAGGCGAAGACAGGTGGCCTGGTGTTGAAGTGTTTTGCACTGCTGCCTCATAACTCTTGGGCCTGGTTTTGATTCTGGGCTGGGGTGTTTTATGTGTGGCATATGAATGTTCCAATTTTCCTCTCACTTCCCATAGACATAAAGACCTGCTGACTAGATTAAAAGGTGTCTTTGAATGTTCCTTGTGTTATTTTGTGTGTGTTTGCCTTGTGATGGACTGGTATCTTGTCCACAGTGTAGTTCTGCCTTGTGCCCAGAGGCTTCCAAGATAGACTTCACTTTCTCAAAACGCTTTCCCAGAAACAAGCAGCTTTAAACTGAATGGTCAGCATACTTGGGAGTGATTTCTTTTTGGCTAACCCGCAGCAGAGGTCTAAGGTCTTCAGAACCAGCTCCCCTGGTCAGGGATATAATAATTTTTTTGTTAATGGTAACTTTTGTTTTGATACAGACTAAGCTTTGATACAGTGAACCGCAAACTTCCCATCAGCTTAGTCATCCGTTCCTATTTTCTGTGTTTTCCCATCCATTAGTGAAAACCTAGGACCATCCTTACAATGTAATTGAGTTCATAATTACCATGTGGTGACTTTCTATAACTTAGAGTGGAGCACGTGCTTGTATTGCACATTAACACAGTGGCAGGATTGTCCTGATTACTCACGATTTAAAACATATGTGGTGTTGACTAAAGTTTTAGATCCTTAACTCTGTTGGTGCTTAACTGTTTGCATCACAGTTTGACTGGCTCCCAAAAATAGTACAGCGCTCAACAGGGCTTCAGAAAATAGCCTGCTGGATGAGTAAGGTAACATCAAGCCCTTGGCAGAGAATTTTTTAGACTTCCAAAAACATTTTCACTCTCCTGATTAGGGGTGACCTGTGTGGAAGGTTTTTTTACTTTAGAGCAGCTAATGAGACGAGTCAATCTAAATAGGAAGAGGTCATCATATCCTGCTCTTCATATACCAGGAACTGCAACCAGTAATCAAGAAAGGAGATGTAAATTATGCTCTTAAAAGTGCAGAGGTTTACATGGATATAGGGTCTTTTTTGGAAAGATCTGCCTTGTACCCGTTATGAGCAGACAGTTCAAGAACCTCTTTTACCTTGGTCGACATTGAGCCCATCTTTAAGCTGTAGGGAAGACTCCTCTCCTGGTGCAGCTCCTCCTGCCATCTTGTGAAGAGGCCCCACTGCTCTCGGGACCCTGGCACTGTGGGGTCTCTCCTGCAGACGGCAGCGAACCCCTCGTGCTAACAGACGTAAAAGGACAATGAAGATCATGTCTGGTTCTTTGGTTCTTTGGTTCTTTTGAAGACAAGGCCTTCAAACCAGCTAAAGGTGAAGAACAGGGTGGAAATTGCACGGTCAGTTCTTAAAGAAATGATATTGCCTTTGAGCTACACCTATTATCACCATCCCTGGTCCATCAGTGACCCAATCCTTCAGGAGTTATGGGCACCTTCAGTAATTGGCTAAGGATCCTGCTTATTAAATCAATTACATTTATACCA